GGTAAAAAAAGCAGACATTGCTAAAAGCTGTTATTGATTTCACACTGACTGGCTGTCCAGCAGTCATTGCTGTAAACTATGTTGGTTGAACTGGCTGCCGTGCGACAGAAAAATATGCTGATAAGGTAAACTCTAGCTCTTCGTATATTCGGTATAGATGTAAGACCAGAGAACCACCGCAAATGCTAGTGCATAGCTTCTCAAGCTGGATTACTAGGTATACAGGCGTCGACCGGTGTGCTCTCTGGGGTTTCCTGAGCTCCAAAATTTTCCGCAAAAGCAGTGGAAACACTGTTGTCACTGTTTAATCCTTGAGAAGTCTTGCTGCTTGGGTAGCAAACAATCTACAGCTTATGCAGAGGGCAAGTTTGTCTGCTTCTTGCACAGGGGGTAGCGGTGACTTCAGAACGCCGAGCCCCGATTGGCTGATCGCGACCCCCTATCTGAGCGTCGTCTGCTCCTTTGCAGCGTCGTCTGCTCCTTTGCAACGTCGTCTGCGTCTGTCTTACCTTTCCTGCGACTTTCGAAAGTGCAGGTCTTTACGAGCAAGCTCGACTTCGCCTTTTAGAGAGAGCAGACGAAATAACTCGAGTGGTACGTTGTTTTCGTCTAACAATTGTACTTCATTTCAGCTTAGGTCCAAGTGCGGCCGATGTTATGAGCCGAAGGGCTAATCAAACAGCAAAAGAGGCACAACGTCATGGCATGCTCTCTGCAGTTGATAGGATCAGCTGGTATTCGCCGTCTTTTTGTGCGTGCTTCTCCGCCGGCTAGTCCTATCAAGCGCAGAGAGCACGCCATAACACTACTTTTTGCGCCGTTTGATTGGCCCTTCAGCTCATAACATCGGCCATGCTCGGGCCTAAGCTGAAACGAAGTATAACAGACGCGCATCGAGGAGAGAAGTCAAAGGACTCACTGGCGAGGTGTCCCGAGGCACCGAGGTTTAGAATCGAGAGTGAGGGTGGCTAGAGTCCGCAAGTTCCCGCCCAAATACTTTTTCCCTCCTTTCGTGTGCGGCAAGACTCCTCACTCTTTAACAGCATCGGCGGGTTGGCGCAGTTAACATTCTCTGCTAGGCAAAGCGATGGCTGCTTCACCTTTCCTGCGTCTGTTGGAGATTCACCACTTTTTCACCGGCGAGAACACGGCCTTCAAAAAAAAAAAGTGTTTGTCTTTTGTCCCTCTTGCTCCCCTTCCCTTAGGATTATTTTCGTCCTTCTTGTCCAGCTCGCTTGCACCTTTGCATTTAATTGCATTATAACAATAATTACTTTCTTGGTGTCAACGAGTCTACGACATAACTTCCGTAATACGTTCAACGCCGCTCGGGTAGCTCCATCGATCTTGCTCGGATTCTCTTTCACAGATTAGCACAGGTTTTCAAACTTTTGCCACCTGGGTTAACGCCACACATACATACCCCAATATGCTACCTGACAACAGCCTTTTAGTCGAGCTAGGAAGTTGTGACAACAAGCAGCGATCGAGCACTTTTGGGCTATGATGTGCTCACAGTACCGATTGCACAGCCGTATTTGTTTATTTACAGTCACTACATCAGCTGTCATCTGTCTTTAGCTGATTATCTTTGAACAACTCATTAAACGCGAGGTACCATTCACGAAACTCGTGCAACTAAACGTTTTAACATAGCAATGAACATGGTGTTTACTTCTTACCTGAGCGAGCGACCTACCGCGGCATGCTGCTCTTGGGGCATTGCAGCCATTGCTGTGGAAGGTCCGTCTTGGACAGTCCATTTAGAGCCGCGTAAAGTGCGGTAGCCACCATGTGGCTTCACTTTGCGGCCCCGCGAGGGCACTCGCAGTGACTCTAAAATGTCACCTTGATCAGAGAGCGTCATCTTTACCGCGTAGCTACAATTCTTAAACGACGCCTGGACATTCGCAACGAGAGTGAAATCCTTCACCTCAAAAGAAAGGACGTATCCTTTAAGGTATTTCCTTTCGCCTTTCTTGAAGGCCGCTTTCTCGCCGGTGAAAAAGCGCTGAATCTCTGACAGTCGTAGGAAAGGTAAAGCAGCCATCGCTTTGACTAGCAGACGGCGTTAACTGCGCCAACCCGCCGACGCCATTAAAGAGTGAGGAGTCTCGCTGCACATGAAAGGAGGGGAAAAGTATTTGGGAGGGAACTTGCGGACTCCAGCCACCCTCACTCTCGATTCTAAACCTCGGTGCCTCGGGACACCTCGCCAGTGAGTCCTTTGACTTCTCTCCTTGATGTGCGTCTGCTAGTTGTTGGACAAAAAGAATGCACCGCTTGAGTTACTTCGTCTGCCCTCTCTGAAAGGCGAAGTCAAGCTCGCTCGTAAAGACCAGGACTTCCGAAAGTCACAGGAAAGGTAAGACAGACACAGACAACGTTGCAAAGGAACAGACGAAGCTCAGATAGGGGTTCGCAATCAGCCAATCAGGGCTCGGCGTTCTGACATCACCGCTACCCCTGCGCAAGAAGCACAAACTGAGGTAGACAGACAAGATGACAGCAAGCTCGCTGTGCAGTGCAGTAGAATGATGTTTGGTGACAGAAATGAAGTTATGAAAGCTGGATGTCGGGCGACAGCGTGCTACCTGATAATTGCTGTTGCCGCAATGAGACAGGAATGCTAAAATCATGTCTCACCTATGTTTGCGAACAAAGTTATAATAATAATAATAAAGTTAAGCAGTTGCTTTAATGGTGAGACGCAACCTTTAGTAGATTGGCGGTTGTCTCTTCGAGGTTTATATGTCTTTCTGATCTTATTTCATGCTCTGCACTTAGTGAACCATTGTTAACTCATATGCTTAGCCACAAGCAGGCTCCAATCATTTGCAATGTTCCATTCGGCTCACTTAGCTTGGCAAAATTATGACTGGAGCAGAGAAGAAACTTTATTTTCTAAGGTTTGCTATCTGTGAAAGTGTTTTTTTTTTGTTTTTTTTTTCGATTACTATTATTCACAAAATGTATGCATATGCTTGGGTTGCACACATTTCAGTTTTGACAAGCATGCATTTTGGTTTGGGTACAGTGAGTAATTTGGGATATGTTTCATAGATAGTAATACTGTATTACATTGCAGCCATGGAAGCTACCATGGACTTCGACACCACCTCAGAGCCTGGACCCAGGGATTTAACCCTGATGGGCTCTTTGGATGAATTGAGCAAACTAGCTGGGAGCAGCGGCAAACGGCTGCAACTACAGGACGTCCTCCAGCACCTACACGAGAGCAAGAGTGCCGAGGACGTCAAAGAAATTGAGTTCTCGACACGGGAGCAACAGAAATCGAATCTCTGGATGCGCCACAGGGTGGGCATGATTACCGCATCCATTGCGTACAGTGTGTATACGAGGGTGAAAACGCTCAGAACAAAGATGGGCCCTCATGACGTGAGGCCCCTATTGAAGAAGATTATGCGTCAAACAAATGTCCGAACGCCCTCAATGCGTCGTGGCAGTGAAATGGAAGGCACTGCCCAAGAGTGCTTCAAAACAAAGTATGCAGGGCATGGGAATTTAGTGGTGAGAGAGTGTGGCCTGCATGTTATGGAGGGAAGACCATACATTGGTGCCAGCCCAGATGGTCTAGTGGAGTGCATTTGCTGCCCAAAGCGGATCCTCGAGGTTAAATGCCTTGAAATCATGAACAAGTTTCTACAGGAAAATATGGAAAAAACCAAAGACAATGTTCCAGGCGAGAATCTGAAGCGCACGACGACCTGTTTCTGCCAGGTGCAAATGCAGATGGGTCTCACAGGAGTCAGGCACGGTGACTTGTTTGTCTACATTAGTGAGCACGACAATGTCTGCATCAAAGTAGTTTGATGAAGACTACTTTCAGGATGTAGTTGAAAGAGCTTCATCTTTCTTTGAAAAGTATGTGCTCCCACATATGTTGTCTGTTTAGACTGAATGAAGTTTGTCCTGTCTTTACAATTGATGTGCTTAAAGGGATTCTGGATTAAAATTGGGACATCATAAAGCAAGGCAGGTGCAGTAGGCGGGATGGTACAATCCCCATAACATTGCTCATACAGCGATATCTCCAATGGATGGCCATATTTTTGAAAAAGAAGGAAGCGACTGAATGAGGCAGACGAGGCCAGTCACATCCCAATTCTCATACCCTCTCTTCACTTTGTCCCCTCAAGGCAGCAAACCAAAGTGGGGAGGAGAGAAGGAAGGCTGGTTTCTCTCTTTCTCAATCTTTCCCGGAGAATAGCTACGCCAGATTTTCCACTCAATCGCGCCCTTTTTGTTCAAAAATACGACCATCCGTTCGAGATATCGCTGAATGAGTGATGTTTTGGGGTTCGTAGTGTCCTGTTGAACTCTTCTGCGGCCTTATTTTGTGAAATCCACATTTCGGTTCAGCATCCCTTTGAAGGGGTCATGCAGCATTTTTTTTAAATCTTGCCAAATACAAATAATTTTACAGGCGTACCTACAGAACACTCATTTGCTTCATTATTCTCGGTTCAGAAACCTAGGGACTTGTAAACTTATCTTTATCATTCTGATAAAGCTAAGAAGCTTAGAATTTTTCATGTGTGCATTGTGCATGTAGTACGACTCTGTACTTGGTCATTGGTTGTGGGCTTATCAGAATGATCAAGACATATTTAGAATTTGCACAATAGAGACTTGTTTCAACAGTTGCGGTCTTGGCTACCTATCAGAGCTTACAGGCACAGGTTTCCTCAAATCAGGCTTACAAATGGCATGTTGGAAGATTGTAATCAGTGAGTGCCCGACGACTCCATAATGTAGATTTGAATGCGAGGCATCAAGACATTGAGCTTTTTCTTTTACACAGCCCATGTGAGGAGGGTACTTGGGTCACGCCAGTGCCAGTACGCTTGTTGGAAAAGTTCAAATGTAATATTGTTTCACGACCCCTCTACAATTGTACTGACATACGCATAGAATGTAAAAATTTGGATTTGAAGGGCCTCTAGACAGCAACTGGTCACATTAAAAAAAAAATCATGAGCAGGCATAATCATACTCTTTATTACAAGAAAATGCACGAAAGAGATGTAAGACTGGAAACACGTTTGTCTAATATTTGCAACATTATTTACTGTTTGAAATTTATTCTTGAGCACTACTTAAAGATAGATGCTCTGTGTGGTAGTTATTTTGATGCATTTGTACTCTGTTTATTAATTCCCCTGTTATTTGAGTGTGTCATTAAAAAGATTAACCATTTTTGTAATGGACTACCATACTCTTTCATCTCAGTCTACATAAAAAGAAACATGGTCAAAATAAGCCTACATGCTGAATACTTAAGCCAGACAGGCACTCACACTAGCCGCATTTCTACTTGAAGAGGAATTTATCCTCGCTAAACAGAGGCTTCGAAAGGTTTACCATGCCAGAAATCACTGTGAAGATCTTGTCTATGTATGGCACAAGATCTAGATCGAACCGATTTTTCAGAATGCGGTAGATCTTCATCCTCTGAATTGCTCTCTCTACATGAACACGTGCACAGGCTATAGACTGGTTGGACCTGGCTTCTTCTGTCGTCAGCTGTTTCTCCATAAGGAAGGGAGGCCTGATCATTCGCACATTTTTTTTCTCTGCACAGCTCGCTGATCAGGAACCCATTGTCCACCATCACACTGTCGACATGTGGAGTACACCTGTCCAGCAGCTGGGACTGCTTTGTGATGAATGTGTCCGATGCTTTTCCACCATATGCTGGGCTTACGTAACTGATTAGCCCTCCTGGTGTTTCACTTACTAGGACCTTTGCCGTGTATGTTCGTTTATAATGGCTGTATGTGAGCAACCTTGACATAAGGTCTTTTGGCCTCTCGATTTCTATCTCTGTGCAGTCCAGCACCATCCTCGTGTCCTTGTATTCCCAGAAATAGGTTGTTAGGCAGCTAACCACGGAGTCTTTGTCCGGCCAGAAGACAGCATGCTCGAGAATGCTTGCGAGTATCACAATAGACTCTTTAAAGATGTTCGACACTGTTGTTCGGTGCACACCGAAGAGTACTGCCAACAGCGAAAACGTAACGTCGTGATACAACTTCATAAAAGTTAAGAGCACGGCGTCATCGTCACTTATGCAGAAGCTGCGGGATGACTGGAGTGTGCGGGCTTCTGTGTAGAGCTCTGTTATATTATAAAACAACTCGAATGAGCACACTCCTGTCAGTACCAGCAGCCCATTTTCGTCTGTTATTTTAAATATCGTTATCAGCTGTTCTGGCTTGAATGGGTTGCTCATGGTATCGACTTGAACACCAATGTTGCGTTGAAACTTCTCCAGCTCTGCGGTGAGTTCTGCAAATAAAAGCGACGTGGTATAAAAAGGAAACAATTCAGTTGTTTGAAATGAAGCATTGATATAATTCCTACCTTCAACATTTGTGATATGTTCGCCAGGGCTCCCACTGGGAACTGAGAAGGCACTGGCACCTGCCGCAGTTGAGTCTACAACCAATGTTTCGGGAGTGGGCGAAGGGGCAGGTAGCGTCCGAATCACTGATACATGAAATGAAATGAGGACTACATTTGCAGATGCATTACTCAATTACTGGCACAAACAGTCAAATGAGATAACGCATATCATTTAACATTTTTGTAGTATCCATAGTTTCTAAACAGGAATGCAGTATCAGAATTACTATTACTTCAGTAACACACTACTTTATTTCCTATGAATAAACAATCGCCAGTAATTTTTGCGAATGGCGAATGCCCTCTGCTTGTTTTCCTAGTAGTGTTTCACTTGACTGATTGTAGGAACGGTGCGAAATACACATGGAAACACCAGACTGGCCCCACTTGCCAACCTATTAACTGTTTTTTTTTTGTCCTGTTCACACAATGGTTTATACCAACCGGCCGAGCTTTCCATCTGATCAATCACCTATCTCGGTGATATCTGCGGACTCGTTTATATTATCCCTCAAATGGTACAAAAGTTTGGCAACAAAGGGCATTTAATTTATAATTAGTTTTACTGCAATATTTGTTATTTATGAGATCTAGGAAATTGATTTTACATAAATAAAATTGACTCCAGACTAGAACACCAGAACCTTTTCGTACACAAACTGTCATCCTCCGTGGGTTCCAGAACTTGTTCTGCTGCGGCGGCATCTTCCACTGGAGAGCTGTCCGAAATCCCGCTGCTGCTCGTGTTTTCCTGTACTATCAGGAGGTCCAATTGTAGGGAAATGGGAGGTTGTGGCACCTGCTGTGGATTTGCAGCAGCATGCCTTTTACCTGAAAGTTAAAAATTTATTAAAATGGCGCACTGACTAATGCTGATGATTCGGCTAGTTGGTAGTTCATTCCCCAAATACGCACAGCGCACAGTCACCGACAAAGTACAAGATGACTAACCGACAGCAGTGCTGACCTACATTGAACTTTTACTGGTGCCTACTTCGAGTATGCCAACGGTAAACAAGCCAAGGTAAGGAAAATACATACAAAAGGAGAAGTAACATGAGTGGCGTAATAAACAAGGCAGAAAAAATGCAATTTAGTCGGGGAAATGTACAATGTAGCCGTTAGGATAACATACTGAACTGAGTTACTTATGTGAAATAACACTGCCACTGGGAATTGAGCGAAAATGTACTACTGTAAAACTTCTGATTTTCACAGCCCCATTTTTTTTTTTTTTTTACGGATCGGGCAAAGACATTTGCGACCACTAAATTTCGCAAATTCTGGACGAGGCAATTCAGGGCTTCTAGAGGCCGGTATTTCGCTTGCCCCTAAATTTCGCGTAATTCGCAAAATTTATAGGCACCGGAAAAGGAAAAAAAAAGGGGGGCTACAGTGTCATTTCTGGTTACCATGGAACGCTATTTCTAGTTGGTGCTCGTGCTCTATCAAAAATAAGCGCATGTGTGACCCAGCCAGTCCACGGTGTCCGAGTTCCACCCCTACCACGCACGTGTACAGGCAGGCATCTGAAAGTTTCAGAACGAGGACGCGCACAACCGGCGACTTGTGCGCGTGCGGCACGCGCACGTAGGGGTTGCAGCACATCGCCGCTCGTCCAAGAGCCCCCGGCATGAATGCCATTCCAAATTCCAGTGAGAGATGAACGTCAATGCTAGCTCATCAACGTGCGAGGAACAGAACTTTATAAACACTTACGCCGGCGTCTCGCCGCCGCTTCGCCCGGTCGCCTTGTGTCGTGGGGACGCACGGGCAGGTTCAGCGACGGAATTGCCTCCGGCAACAATTTTCGGTACTTGTAACCTAGATATAAAATTAAATGGGACTACGCGCTCACAGAATGTACGCGTCGCACCGGTGTCGGACTTACCCAGAGATTTGTAGACCGGGTAGACGAAGTCCTGCTCATCGAAGTGCTTGCTGCACACAACGGTCGACGCTGACGGCGCCTTCCCCATTCTTAATTTAATCATCCATTCCTTCTTTTTTCTCCATGACTTTGGGTAGAAGTGAAAACTGACACCGGGTTCTTTTCGAGACGTGCATTGCGGCACGGAACAGAATGTTACCATCTCCAAAGCGAATGTACGAGGACAGGGGCAAGGCGAAATCGGAAAGGAACCGGCAGAGCGCTCCTCGCCGTGACGTCACGGCACACTTCACCCAATCAGGGCGCTGCGACCGCAGCGACGCTTGTGCTCGCTCTCGGGGCTAATAGATTTTAGCAAGTTAACGCCACTTGTGGAAGGGACAGGGAGGTTGAGAGAGTTACAGATACTTTGAACTCGAAAGCCTAGGGGGCGCACAATTGTTGGCTTGTTTTCAAACAATTTACAGAACTGAGGGGTGTGTAAAATACTATAAGCAGGATTTTTGGGACCCGAGAGGACTTTGTAATAATAACACAGGCTCAAGTACTGTCGCCGTTTTCCAAGAGACATTTGATGTGTGTCCACATACAAGCTTAATACGGGTGATGTGCAAAATGCCCCAGTGGCAAGCCGGAGCCCAAGGTGATGAACCGGATCCAACATCCTTAGTGTGGAAGGTCGTGCTGAACCATAAACGATCGCTCCATAATCCAGGCGTGACCGAACTAAAGCATTGTACAACCGTAGGAGGCATCGCCTGTCAGACCCCCAAGATACATGTGACAGCACCTTAAGGATGTTAGAGGATTGCAAGCACTTTTGCTTTATTTCCTTTAAATGAGACTTAAATGTAAGCTTTTTATCAAAGATCATGCCTAAAAATTTATGTTCGTGCTTCACCGATATTTCTGTGTTATTCAATTGTAAGAATGGATCCAAAGATAGACCTCGTCGCAGGGAGAAGGGCACACACACAGTTTTCTCTGGGGAGAATTTAAAACCATTTTCATTTGCCCACCTGCTCATCCTATTTATCGTGAGCTGCAATTGCCGTTCACAACTAGAGAGGTTGCAAGACGAAAAAGATATTTGCACATCGTCCACGTAAAGAGAGTAAGAAACGGATGACGGTAGAACTTGAGCTAGACTGTTTATCTTAACTGCAAATAAAGTGGCACTTAAAACTCCGCCCTGGGGGACACCATTTTCTTGTAAGAAGATACTGGATAAAGTCGAGCCTAATCGAACTTGAAATGTACGTTCACTTAAATAGTTCTGTAAGCAACGGAGCATACGGCCACGCACTCCACAGTTGTACAGATCTCGAAGGATACTATACCTCCATGTAGTGTCATATGCCTTCTCTAAATCAAAAAACACGGACACACAATGCTGCCGGTGAACAAAGGCCTCACGTATGACGGTCTCAAGTCGCACCAGATGGTCCATAGTCGACCGTCCAGCCCGAAAGCCACACTGGTTAGTATCGAAAAAGTTTTTCTCCTCAAAAAAACCCTAAGGCGGCGATTTATAAGCCTTTCATAAGTTTTCCCCCAGCAGCTTGTAAGTGCTATGGGGCGGTAGCTTGTAGCTAGAGAGGGATCTTTTCCAGGCTTCAGCAAAGGTATAATGTGGGCACATCTCCAAGTATGCGGAAAAGCAGCAGCTTCCTAAAGGTAATTGAAAAAGGATAGCAGGTGGTACAAGGATTCATGAGAGAGGTGTTTGAGCATCTCGTAGTGAACTCTGTCTGGCCCAGGTGCAGACTGCTTTTTTAAGCTGAGAGCAACTTCGAGTTCACACATTGTGAATGGTTTGTTGTATGCAACAGAGTTAAAGCCTGACATAGTGAATTTCTGTTTTTCAGCGGTAGACCGGAACTTTACAAACTCTGTACTGTAATTGGAAGAGCTACAAACACGCTGAAAATGTTCTGCGAGGAAGTCTGCTTGCCCTGTTAGAGATACCGAGATCGAAGGAAAAAGTGGAATCCTGAAAGCATGGTACTGCCCGCGAACTTTTTTGAGACGATCCCATACTTCTTTAGCCGTGACAAAACTATTTAGGGATGAAACATACTTTGTCCAAGAAGCCCACTTTGCCCGTTTTCGCGTCCATCGAGCTTGTGCTCTTTTTTTCCTAAACTCAATCAAGTTAAGGAAAGTTGGATATCGCCGAAAAGTTCCCCACGCCTTGTTCTGGCTTTTCCGAGTGGAAGTACATTCCTCATTCCACTGGGCTTGCACCTCCGGGGAAGATTTCCTGAAGTCTGTGGAATTGAAGTGGAAGCAGCATTTATAATGCATTCTGTAACGTAAAGCGTCGCATCCTCGGGAGTCATATGAAGAAACAAGGAGGGATCAAGTGCTGCTTCTAAACCAAAAATAGACCAGTCGGCCTTTTCCAACTTCCATCGCGGGAGTCCAGTTGGTATCGATGAAATTGGTAAAACGCTCTCTAAAATTATGGGTAGATGGTCGCTGCCAAAAGGGTTGTCTAAAACGTTCCATGAAAAGCATGGAAGTAGAGATGGTGATGATAGTGATAGGTCGACTGATGTAAAAGTGTTGTGGGCAGCACTAAAAAATGTAGGTTTTTTCTTATTCAGTAAGCAGATTCCAGTTGATAATAAAAGTCGTTCAACAACTCCACCTCGGGAGTCCTGACGAGAGCTTCCCCACAAAGGATGGTGTGCATTAAAATCACCAAGGATTAAAAAAGGTTTGGGGAGTTGGTTGATGAGTGCTTGGAGTTCAAGGAGATGAAGCGGAACATTAGGTGGTAAGTAGAGTGACACTAGAGTGATGAGGCGGTCAAGAAGGATGCGAACTGCAACTGGTTTAAGTGAAGTTTGTAATGGAACTTTGGCACATGCCACTCCACTCTG